GTTCAAAGGGACAACTAAATCATGTATATCTGTGTGAATCGCTGAGAAGGTTCTCCTTCTGCTCATTCCTATGGTGCTCACAGTGATTAGAAGAAGCAGGTTAAGCTATGCTTTTAATGACCATTAAGCGTTGTTGTGACAGACTGAGTTAAGATGTCACCTATGTGAGTGTGAAGTGGGCCCACTTCTATAAGGATTGGGAATGCTACATCATTGAAAAACACTTACAGAACCAGACGACGTGTTCATGGCTAAAACGAACACAACAGTGAGAACTATGCTGTGTCTAGAATGGTCCTGTGTAAGATTTATTGTCTTGGTTTACCCAAATAGCGAAACAGTTCAAGGCATAGTGTGAGGTCTATTGTTTTGGTTTACACAAATTGCGAAACAGTTCAAGGCATCAGATCTACTGGTTTGCTAGTTATACTCGATAGATTTTCTCAAGTGATGGTTCAAAGCTAAATGCTACATATCCTATACATGATTGATTCGTTATAATCTCTCTTTCTCTCTTGAGTCTTTGTTTCTTCGAATTTTCATTCATGTAGGGGATTGTTTGAAATGATATTGAATGAAAACACAAACATCACTTTCATCCGTTCCAAATGATATTGAATGAAAACATGTAACTCCTTTATTTTATCTTCAATGTTGTAACTCTTCTATTCAATGTATTTATGAGCAGCTCTTCATCTATTAGTATAAATAGAGGATCTCTCTGTTGAAAATATAAGAGAGATACAAGTTATTTCTTCCTGCAACAAGCTTTCCAGTAACAATCTTCATCTTTTCGATTTTGAAAATTTTCTTTTTTGATTTCTTTGAGAGATAGAGTATATTATAGCTAGTTCATAGACGGGTAACGTAGTGCAGCGTGAACCGACAACAGATTGTATCATGGGAATAGAACACCGATCAAAACCTCTTACACTCCGATGAGGCGGCGAATTCGATTTAACGAAATTGTGAATACACAAGCATTCGGTTTAATTTGATTCTATTATATTTACCTACAATTTAAAGAGGGCAAGTCTATAAAATCATTAAATCCATCATTCAATGGAAGAAATCTTAACCCATTAATGTTTATTTTCCGACAACGAAACC